TCAGCTATGTACCTTTTTTTTCTGACACACTTAAAAAGCCAAACCCATACTCTCTAAGCATACTTCCTTCAAAGATTTATGAAATGCCAGTTCTATAACCCCTGCCTCTTAAGGTACCAAGTAGAATCCATGGTAAAAGTTACATGTTTCATAACTGAGTCTTTTGTCTCCACCTCTCAAAGGTTTCTGCGGAGCTAGTCAAAATTTAACTTTGGAAACATGTTCTATACCTCTTCTACATCTGAGACTTTTAAAATTGAGGCTGATGTACGATTCATAATTTTTTAACCTCAATTCCATTTAAAAGAATCAGTGTTTCTTCTTCTCACAGGTTTTAGATATTTCCTGTGGGTTTTTTATTTTTAGAATCTTGATGAGCATAAGAACAGATTGGGGTTGATAGACTGCTGCATCTTTTCCTCTTTTTGCATAACCTCTTGTAATACAATTGTCAAATTAAATACCTAAGTTAAAAATTTCAAAGTACTCATAAATCTAGAGGAATTGAACTGTGTTAAAGAGCCTCAGAAAAGACAATACTACTAATCTTCAGGCCAAATTTTCTTTCCCTCCCAACAGACAATACTTTTGCATGAAAAAGGTCTCAATGGGTCTTGTCAGCTCTTCTTATGTTTGTTGCTGGCTTTTCACTATGGAAGAGAACTTATTCATAAACCAGCAATGGTTATCATCCTTCTGGCATTTTTCCTATGCCCAACTTTTCATTCTGGAGCTCCTGCTTCCTAAGAAGGAATAAGCAACTCTTGCAGTCTTTTCAGTGAAAGCTAAAGAATACTTTGTTATGAAGCAATTCTGTTTGCTTTTAATTTTGCAGAGGATCTACTCTTAAAGGCCACCAAAAGAGTTAGAATGAAACAGATTGGTCTCTCCATGTCATGCTATTCCTTAAAAAATAGGTACATATAAAAAGATTTTAAATAAAAACTAATGCAGAGAGACTGTAAATTAAATTATTGCTCTGCAGGTCATTTCTTTTTTTTGAGATGCCTTCTTACCTTATACATGGGAGTAGTTACGATTCATCTTTTAAGGTTAGCATGACTGATCTCATTTGTCTATCAGGTTTGTACATATTTTTGACGAATAACACTAGACATACAGCAAAAACATGATTGAATTTTAAAAGCAATTAGCTTTTTTTCTTGTATCAATTTGAAACTAATTTTCAATATGCCTTCAAGCAAGTGGATAGCATGGAAATATTCCAGTGAACATTAAGCTTGCATACCTACAAAGTTGTACTTTGTTTCTTTCTTCCAGTGTCATAGCCCATGAAAGTAAGCAAGGCAACTGTAGGAGTTAACAAATACAGACAGTGCTTTAAAAGTAATTATGGCAGTGTTAGGTGAGCAGCAGTCTTTCTGGGTTAGTGCCATTTCTTTCCCTTCAAAGTTCAACTAGTATGCATTAGCCCAGGACATAATCAACTGCATTTACAGCAGCTGCTGAGAAATCACTGAAGGTAAAAATACTGTGTGACTGTGGATGGTGTCAATAGTACATACCAGAGTGATGAAATTCCACTGCCCCACCATTTACCACTTCATCAAATAGTATATGTAATCTGACAATTATAGAGATGTTGCACATTCTCACTACTACAGTCCACTACTGATCTGAGAAAAACGATGTACTTTTTTGGAAAACCACAGCCACACACATTTTCTTTGATGCTCTGCCCATTACTTCAGGTTGTAAACCCAAGAGAAAATGCATCAGCAATGCACTATATATCTTTGTTTAGGCCTTTCAGTTGCACTAACACTAAAAGCATTATCCCCAGACAGAGGCACCATTAAGTATCAGAAGTGGTAAGTATCCCAACAACTCTGAAGACTTAGTTCACACTCTCAGTTCTGCCAGCAGCAACTCAGATCTCCTGAGGAGACTACTATACAGTCTGGTCTTTACAAATATATAGTCAGGAGACCAGATAGTTCTGCCATTAAAGAGAACTTGTGTACCTATAACATTATTACTAAGAAGTAACAGTTTTCTACTGAAACAGTTTTCTACTGATGTTTACTGCTCAGCAAAGCTCTGTCATTACCTTATTTTTTTTTTCTTTTTTAAAACACTGTTAAATTAATTATTTAAATTAATTATTTCTGCACTGATATTTTCTATGCAGGATTTACCAAGTTTCTACTCCTCATCTTACAAGCAGCACTATGAAAACTAGAGTACAATGCCTTTTCATCCCTTTTTCTCAGTTATGTTTCTTGATTCAGTGCCAACTGATGCTCTACTCACTGTAGGCAAGAATATCTCCTACTAGTCTGTACTACTTTTAAAGCTAGGGAGTATGTACATAAAATAGGGCACAGTGCCAAGGCTGTTATCTCCAAGTCAGGAGATATGGACTAGCTTGTACACCTACTTCCATACCGTCCAAGAGTATGTGGCGAGCCACTATCTTTTCTTTATCTGGGTTTTTCTAACCTATATAGGGATTACTCCATTCACCATGGTACCCACTGGAGCCAGCCACAGCCATTGCAGACATGAATTAGCATGTACCTACCGTTAAGTGGCTAAAGACTAGAATCCTAAAACTAAACAGAGAACAAGCTAATGGGACATCCGTGACATACCCAAGCTAATGTAACACCTCAATGAATTAATGTTATTTAAGCAGCCGTAGGAGCTGGACAAAGACCTGAACCCACCAGGACATCAAGTAACATCTCATACAGGCATCAGCTATTCAGGATAGGATTTTTCAGCTAACTTTCACCACCTAGTTTATTGCTGAGAATTCCCTTTTGGAAAAGGCTGAGAAACATCTCTTTTATCACTTGTGTAAAGAATTATCAGAAAACATGTTTTAGTAGAAAACAAAATTTAGTTTACTGTTCTCGTCCCCAAGATACAACGATCCTTAATTTTGTGTTGTCCCAGGAATTAAAGCTCTACTAGTGGAGATTTAGATCCAATATACATTTCATCAATAGAAAACAAACTTGCAAATAATGCCACTTCTTGAAGAGAAAACAGACTAACTGTGAAAAAAAACCACAAATGTTTCTTTTAATTCAGGACAGTGACAGAGAAAAAGCCAGTTCATTTTAGCTTTCTGCTAGAAAAATACTCAAGTTGTTTCCAGCTGTTCAAAGAATCTGAGTCTTAATTACAGGTCATATAAAACCCACACATCCACTCCAATGCAGTCAAAATACAGAAATACTTCAGGTGAAATTTTAGTCTACTTAGTGCTAGAGACTGCTTTCATATTGCCTACAGCAGGAGGAGTTTCATTCTTGAAACCTGAGTTTCAGGTCTCCTAGAAAGAAATTCTGACAGCTGTTATTTCTTGAAAATTATCTGGGCACGTTTAAGTGATTTTTAGCAAATAGCAGAAAGAGCCATCAGGCTAAGAAGTTGCATTACACATAATGCAGCAACTTGTTTGTGATAGCAATTGTGCAGAAGAAATTTCCAGTGATCATCATAAGAGTTGTTTGTGCAGAGCCAAAGCTAACTTAACAAAAGGGGAAGAATATGCCCTCACAAAACCTCCACCCGATTTTTACAATAATAAGTTATTAATGCTCAGGTAATCATCAGAATCACTAGTTGTGTAAAAGTGTAATTGGAAAGATGTATATAAGTGCTAGGAGCAGAAAAACTACATGTTGATGCATGCAGATACAAATGGGTTTTGTTTTAAAAGAAAGTTTAAAATCTCTAAATACAAACTATTCAAAAGAACTGACCTATTGATAGTTCACATTCAATTCCCGGTATAGACATGATCTAGAAGGTTTATACTAAACTGGAAATACACGTTTGTATGCTTCGAAATGCTTCTAAACACTCTTAGCACAAACCCGATCTCATTTTTACTAGCTTACACACCTGATGTTAGTTTTGGTTTAGCCAACAGGAATGCAACCAGCAGCAGGTCTTATTACTGGACCTATCATCAAAATCAGAAAATAATGCTTTTCTACAGCTGAAAAAAATATGGTTCCTATTTAGTATGTTACGGGTTAAGTATGCATTACAGGATCCAGTGAAAACCATAATCTAGCAGTTACTGCCCTAACTATACAGTGCAGAAAAAAATATTTGTGAGAACTTGCTTCATTTCACTTTCATGGCAAGCTATGTTTGAAATGTAAACGTAATATTTACAACTATTTTAAAATACATTTTGTTCAAACCTAACATCATCATCAACCATTGAAAAACATGGTAACAACAGGTTTTTTGTATTTGTAGCACTTCAGATCCACTTCCATCTTACAGGGAGAGACACAGAGCACACAGGCAAGGAAAAAGAGTCATGGTGGTTTTCCCAGCAGCCTTAGTGGCTCACTCATTTGCATGGATTTCACCATGTTAGCTGGTGTCTCAAGGGCAGCCTGAGACACACACTGGAAGTCTCATGCATTTTTAAAACTGAAATACACAGAGGTAGGAGGAGACTACCGACAGGCTTGAGAGGCATTACTGTAATGCAAATACAAATAGTAACTGTTTTCAAAAGCAGGCATAGATTTACTACAGCAGTCAACAGGGTTGTATCCCATTCCCCATCTGCAAGCTTTCATGTGAAATACTTATTAAAACATGACTGTGTACCTTTCCGTGTCCCTATTCACTGCATGACTACCTAAAATATAGCACAGCTATTAAATAGCCTTGTTTATAATCATTAGCTCCTGCCTTAAAGCTTTGATCAAACAATATCAACTCCCTTGTCTGAACATATCTTGTTTTTTAATTTACAGTGGAGTATTTTTTAGACAATTCCTTGAAGCCACTTTTCCTTTGCATATTTAAAACATGATCCTTATATTTATATATAGATAATAAAATGTAATAACAAATAACTAAAACATTTATACCTGCAAGTTAGGCTGCACATACCACATTTTTATAGCGACCTTTTAATAAAGCCTAAGGAAAATACATTTACATGAGTGAAGACCTATTTCAAACAAAACAGAAATCTAAAAAGTAGAAATTCTTACCCTAAAAAACTCTTTAGTGGAGCCAGAATCTAATGTCCCATAAGCAATTTCTGTTTGCTTGGAAAGATCCTCTGCACTTTCAATGGGAGACACCATCCTCTCAACCGTCAGGAAGGCAGCTAAGTTAGCCGTGTAGGATGAGATTATGATGAGGGTAAAGAACCACCACACACCTCCAACAATGCGCCCAGACAGGGATCTAATAACAAGTATGAAATGGATTTGTAAAGTGAAATGAAAGTCCTAAAAAGGAACACATGTTATCAGTTTTATGCAAATGATGCATTATACTACAGGGAAGCATTTCAGGCTATCTCGCCGCACAGCTCTGTACACTGATCAGAAGGGAAATCAAGGCATACTCCACTACATTTCCTGAACTTTGATGAAATCATCACTCCAGAGTTTAGGGACAATTTAGTGATCCAGTTCTTCAAAGTTCTGAAACACTCTGAAAGGAAACTGGTCCCACCATAACGTGCTACATTTAACACATAAGCTTATCATTCTCTCTGAAGTGAATTTGTCTGACGTTATGAAGAGGATCAAACAAAATCAGTGAAACAGTGCTTTCAGATAAACCACTATTCACTTAATTTTTAAGTGCCTTTAGTTTCCTTATTTTCCTAAGATGGACAAAGGCTGTATTCCACAAAACAATGCCTTATGCTGCTGTGGATAATCTATACTGAAAAACAAATGCATTATTTGAATAAAAACTGGCCCAGGGAATATCCATAAACTAAAAAGTGCACACAACTTTTAAAAGGTACAAGCATTTAACAGACTGAGGACTGGACATGAAACAATCAGTAATAATACAGAAAAAAGGTGAAGAAAGTGTATTTTAAAATAGTAATAAACTGATGTTTTTAACTGCAGCAGGTGGACTCTTATGGATCTTTGTTTTGCATCTCCTGCTCAAGAAGAGAGAAGAAAAGAGAACTCAAGAAAAAAATATAAAACAGTATAAAGCACACAACTAGAGAAATTCAATTATTTTCAATACTAGAAAACTAACAGAAGAGAAATACTGATATTGTCAAATTTGACATTATTCTAAAGATCCTTTAAACTTTGAAATTACTTACTACTTTGTTTCCAAACAAGACATTATAGGAAGGAGTACATAATCTTTGGAGATGTGCTTAATTATTTGGCAGAAATGTGCATGTAGTTGAAAGTCTAGTACTAAGGCGTTGCAGTAGCTTAGGTATGTCTTGATGTGTCTCCTCTATCTATTAAGTAAACAAATTACAAATCACTCACCCAGTCTACTGTATTGTGAATGAGACGTCAAACTAATTCTGGCAAAATATTTATATAAATATAACTATATGTATATATACATTTAAACATGATAGTTATGTAAAGCTTATTTATTAAACGGAAACAAAACCAAACAGAACCAATTCTGGACAAATTATTCTTATGAATTGCTACTGTATAAAATCTCTGTGATAATTCAGACATTAAAAGACTTATGCCATGTCACAGCAGACTCACTGATTCACACTGTAACACGAAAATCAAGTCAGATAAGGTCCAGAATATGTTATTAGAAAGGAACATAGAAAAAAAATTCTTTCAAGCTCCTAAATTGAGATGTATTCTGTAAATGTGCTTTGTCACCTTTGAAAAAGTATCGCATACTTATTTTGACATGAAGGTAACCTATGTATAAAATAATTCTCTAATTAGAAGATTGAATTATATGATAAACATACATTTGTAAGGCAAAATCTCTGACAATGTGTATTTAATAACTACTGACTTTATGGCAATTTATATTGAATTGATGACACCTACTATAAATTATACAAGGGCTTCAAAAAGCCTTTGATCTGCCAGCAAACAAAGTTGCCATCAACTTTGTAAAAGAAGAATAAGCCAATCCAGACATTATGCTCCCACATAACATTTTATAAGTAAAAATTTTTTGAGTGTCATTTGTATTCAAAATTTTCCCATAAGGTCCGACCCAGTTAAATAAATAATTTTTTTTTTTATGTACATTTCGAAAAGTTTCTGAAGATTGATAATTATATGCTAGTATGAACCCACACTTTACAAGCACCTATTTCTTCAGATCATTAAATACTAAAATAATTTCTGTGCATAATTACATCAATTTGTGCACCACATTTTATACTTACAAAGGCATTATATGGCAGCACTGAGAGTACACTCTCATCTCAAAAAAGATGAGGAAAACTTTGCTATTAGTTATCATTATCATATAATACATTATGCTAATCTATTCTACTTAACCCCATTCTACTCAACTGTTTCTGTGCTACCCATGACAGCAACATGGGGATTGCTATTGCAGACCAGCTTCCAGCTGCTCCAAGTCTTACTCAGCACCACCTTCTATTTCAGTCAGCAAGCCCTAGTTACTTGTCTCACAGTGGTTATAATTTTTATTAGAGAAATCATAGTAGCAATAGTAAAAAATTTAACTTTACAAATATATTTTGCTGATGCCTGAAGATATTCCTTTTTTATATCTACTCTGATTCATTTGCAGGGAGTTCAAATTCTATTTTTATAATAAACAAACTATTCACTTTACTCAAAAATGTTTGTAATGAAATAAAGTGCTGTTAAAACACTTCACTGAAACGAGATCTTAAATCTCCAAAATGATTTGAATTTCATATACTTTTTATGATGACCATTTACCATCATTATTCTTACATCACCTTTCAAAAGTTATCAAGCCATGCACAACAACTGTCATGCTTTAATAGCCAGTAAAATAATAATAGTAAGAAAAAACCCCATCATTCTACTATGGCCTTGATTCAATAAAAATAATTTTGTAGCTAATAGGGGACTTTGCAGACAACTAAACCTGTGAAGTGTGTAATCGATACAAAACCCCCACAGGACTGACATTAACACAGTTTCTCATGAGCTGAAACAATTTGCTCTCTCTTCACTGTCTTGTTTCTTGTATACAATTCTTAATGTGTTATATGTCAAATCCACTGCATCTTTCATCATAAAGGCTGGCATACCTTACTGCGATATGCCACCCTTTAGACAGAATTGCTAAAGCTCTTATACAAAAATGCTCTGCTATTTCTTCAATAGAACAACTTCAAAACCTGCTGTTGCCTTTTGGGATGCACAACAGAAATGCTCCTCTGGTGCCATTTATTTTTCACACTAACCACTATACACACTAGAAATTGACCTGTTCCCTGTCTTACTTCAAGATTTTTAGAAGAAAGTTAAATTGTGTAGTATAATTAGGTAGGTCTTCTGATTTGAGTTCCTTAAACCCAGTTGCCCTGTTTCCCTTGTTACTATAGTTCCTTCAAGCAACAAGTAGTTATTTACCCACCTACTTACCACTTTGCTGAATCAAGGCTAGAACCGCTTGTGCACAAGGGAAATAGAATATTTAATGAGCTGCAAAGGAATTAACTTAAGTACTTTACAGTTGTCCCTAATAAAGTAGTTGAAAATCCATTAGGAATTAAGCCTTTGTAAACTGGACCTTCAAATTCATTTTAGTGATTTCCTTTGTGACTTTTCTAAAACTAGGCCATGGAAAAACAGCAGTGTTTTGCAACTACTCGCATGATATTAGAGCTACCACATGACTTTTATTCCAGTTCAAGGCTCTCCTACAGAAAAACAGCAGGTTAGTAACTGTGTTATGGTATGTAGTGAGTTTCAGAGGGAAAGTGCTGCCTGTGTAGTTCATGACTAATATGTTAACCTTTTTTCCCATTACAGTTGTTGTGAACCATATGCACTGTCAACTGTAAAATGGGAATATGCAGCAAAAACACGGTACCCCTCCAAGAAGGCATGGAATGACTTGAACCTTATGCATTTTACAGCCTCTGCATGGTGTATATAACTTCACTTGGCAAACGTATGATCGACGTTAAGACAGCATCGACCAAATACGTTGTGATCCTATGTCAGAGACAACTGCTTTTATTTCAAGGACTTCTGTGATTTTAGGGAGGGAAAGTTATTTCTTTCTGAAAGTGAAAATATATACACCATGAACCTCCTGCGGCTGAGATGGCTGAGACTAAAAATGCACAAAGTTGAAATGTGTGAGTAACCAACCTTGGCGAAATATCGCATCCTTGCTGCATAAAGGCACCCAGGGAAAACCAGAGACTATTAAATATCCCAAATTCATTAGTTGATTCATTAGTTTGCGTTTCTCTTCCATCTTCAAACTCCTCAGTGTGCCATTCGTATGGGCTAAATCTGCTGACCAGGAATAAAACTACACTGACCCCAATGTAGGCAAAAACAATGCACATCCAGATTTCATATGCTAACGGATCAAGAAATGAAAACACTCCTGGCTTGGACTTCTGAGGCTTCTTGATCATTATTGATATCCCCAGGCTCATAAAGGGCTTTGAGAAGTCAATCACCTCTTCTCTCACCAATGTTATAGTTAATGGAGCGATTGCAATATCGGCTTTCTGTAAAGGAAGAAAAAAAGCAAATAATAGCTAATACAATGATCAGAGTAAAGAATGATTTAGTTTCTATTGCATCTCACAAATGGAAAATAGGACATCAGAGACACCAGCAACATTCGTTTCACCAAGAACGTCCTATGGAGAATTCAGAAGTTTTTAGTTGAAACTCTTCTTACTGAAATATATATAACCATATGGTTGGCATATTCCAAGTTTCCATGTTTACACATGCCATTTAAAAAAATATATAACATTTAAAAGTGTCAGTAAAGTACATTGCCTTTTACCTTGTCAGAAGGATGAAATATCCACTCACTTCCCCCCAGCTTCATTTGCATTACAAATCTGATTCCATATTTTACTTTCAAAATTTTTCATGCCAATACAAGTCACTAATTCACCATCACAGGAATTAGATAATCTTCCTCTATTCTACAGAGGAAACTTAACCAAATCCCACTCCTTCCATCAGTCACCGTTAATGGCTTTATTATAAAAGATTTTCTTACCCCATAAACAAGTTCTCCAACCATCCCATTCCAGATTTTCGTGTCTGCATCCCTCGCCCCATACTTGCCATCCCCAACAATTGTGAGCTTATATTTGAATCCACAGTGTTTAGCAATTTCTGTAGCTAAGTCCACACAATAGCCCTCATATCGATCATTTCCTTCAAGCATTTCATGATTTTTCTTCATCATGACATATGGGGACTCCTGCACAGAAAGAACTTGCCTTAGCTACTTGGTAAAGAGACAGATATATCAGTTGTGCGCTTCATAGATTAATATATTTCTTTTTACACATGAAAAAGAGAAGATAACATCTGGGTCATGCTATGAATGTTAGCTGTTGATTATTCATGTGACATGTCCTTAACACATTTAAAAGCTGTATTCTCCACAGTCATACACAAATAACAATACTTACATGCATAGTGATTTCCAGCAGTATGTTAATAATGACCATGAATGTTAACAGGAGTTACGCATTCAGAGAAGAAAGAGTAAGTTCCAAAATCAGTTTCTTTCTCTCACACAGTTTGGATGAAGAAGGCAAAGGTATTGAGTTGATTTTGTTATCTTAATACAAGAAAATTCTTTCTTATTTCACATCCGCATCCCTCACTGGGAAAACACTCAGGCTCTCTGGGCTATAACTTTATTGAATTAGTATACAAACAGTAAGTAAGGTATCTACAACTATGCAATAAACTGGTGACAAGTCGTAAGTCCTATTAACGTATCTCCTCCTTGTCAGTTGGTACTGAACTATTGCATCCAGTGAAATTCCTATGCTAACCTGTGACTTGTCCAAACCGATAAAGAAGCCACATAACAAACAGAAAAATGCTATTCTCTGACAGTACATAATATTATTTTCTAGACAACTAGAATACCATTTTTTATGTTTCATTTCACAGTTCACCAAACCATAACAGCTACAATTCTGAAGCATAAGAACCAGTCTCTTCACTGTTTGGCAAATCAGTTCTGTAAAACTAACACTGTGGTTCTGTCTCTCAGACAAAGCTCCTCTCCTCTAAAAGCAGGTATTTCATTTTCAGGTCTAAAAGTTTTAACTTTCTAGGATGTTCAAGTGGATGGAACAAAACCGCATACTGAATCACATACATTTCCTTAATTTTCAGATTTTATTTATGTATCATAATGAGTAACAGGTCACAACCTCAAATAAAAAAAAAAAAAAAGACACTATATTTAAACTAACATAATGATGAGAAACAAATTACTGAAGGACAGACTGTCTTCTGACAAAATACGAGGTTAATTACCAAAATAGTGGTGACAATAATAGTCTTATTCTCTAGTCCTGAAGATTCATTTCCGAGAGGGCCATCAAGAGGATTCACAACCATTTTGTCCACTTCACTCCAATATCCAATCTAAAGAGAATTTATAGGATGCACAGACACCAGTGAATATGAACTTTCATAGAAAAGGTAAAACATGTTACTACTATGCCCCTGATTTATGTTCACAGAGAACTGTTTTAGCTATGGATTTACCAGTATATTGTTATTTATGTAGTTAAGAACTATAACAAATAGTAAAAAGATTGAGCTAATGATATATGCTCACATTAATTTGTCTAATACAGGTATACCATTTTCATTTCCTATTAACAGGTTTTAGCATCAACATCATGCACTGTAGGACTGAAAGCGGTATGAAATACTCCAGATTAGGAAGACACGAGAAACTGGCTTTTCCTGAAATGTTTGGAATTAGAGCGGAAAGATAATTACTTTTAAAAGAAACATGCTGAAAAGCTGTATTCTGCATTTGTCATTCAGAACCATATTTACCCAAATACTGGCTCACATTTAGCAATTCAGATCAGAAAGCATAAAGTTTAATCCACAAAATTGAAAGGAAAATACTCTTACGTAGTACTTACCAGAAATAACTCTTATTCGTTAGAAAGAAATAATACATATTTTTACTTTGTTCTGCAAGACCATTATAGAATACATCTATGAATAAATATTATCACGACTCATGCTTTAATTAATCTATAGTGTCTCATTACCTACCTTAACCCGTTGCTTAGCATGGTAAAACCTTTAAGGACACTGTAAGACAATTGAAATTACCTTCCGAGGACCAGTACTTTTGAGTTCCATGATGTTTATTGTAAAATTGATTCTCTTTCCATTCTGGTCAAACTTTATATTCCCTGTTAGACCTTCCACCTGAACCTACATAGACGAAGATGAAAGTGGTACAAGAATTAAGTTTGCTTATTTTTAGAAAAGCATTTTGTATTTCCATACATGATTACTGCTATTTAAAAAAACATTCAGTTTAGACTGTTTCCCATAGGCAACATATCATCTCAGTATGAGACACGTTCCTGAGGAGTTCCCTTCCATATTATTCCCAGAAAGATCCAGGCAGGTCAGGAGACTGGAAGGCTCTTTTCAAGCATTTATAGAGAATTTCACACACACACTCATGCCAGCGTTCACTCCAGGGAAGCTACCTGTTTCAATGCCCTTTCTATTTCTACACCATGACCCCAGGGTACAGCTGGATTTGCGAGACAATCTCCAGCATTTCCTCTTCTGGAGATCTCGATCCTCTGTTTACGCAAATTGCGGAAAGCTTCTGTCATCACTTGAACAGCATCATAGGTAAGAGCAGATGTATACTGAAAATAAGTGAAAATATCTAATTAAAAAACAGCTTTAGCTTCACTACACCTTCCAATCCACTTACTAATCCATTAAGCACAGAAACATATTAAATTAAAAAGGACAGTAAGATATACTTGAAAGCAGACCAGTTTTTTCTTTGGTTTGGAGGTCATACCCTCTGATGGACATCTATGCAAATTATTGAAGTGTTCTCCATCAGAATGGTTAGGGCAGTGCTAATAAATCTAAACTGAAGATTTACAGCTGTTTTCAGTCTGAATTACATTCCTTTCTCATTACAATTGTATAACAGTTCTGTGTGCAAATATGGCTGGAAGTCCATGGAGGTGAAAGGGAAAAAAATAAATAATTTCTACTACTTAACGTCAGTTAGACTCTAAAAATAAGAAATTGTTTCTCTGATTACACTCTTCATGGAGATACATTTATATACAGATCTCTAGACTACACCTCCTCCCAAATATATACACACAAAGCCAAGCAACATCTATTTGTATATATGTGTACATAACTTTAACTCTGGTAAATATAAAAACTCAGGGGTATCCAGTTTCAAGTATGTAATACCTTGTCAACACCATGCAAAAACAGGTTTTTGGGCTGAGATACCTGGAAGAACTGGTGTCCCTGAAAGAGCAATATAGGCAAGAAAGACCCTTATGTTCCTAATCTGATACATTATAAGGAGCTTTACAACTTTTGAGACATCAGAGAGGAATCCTGTGATCACATGCATCAGAACCTGGGGCTAAACAGTCAAAAGCAGTTAGTGTTAGTGACTGGAAAATTTTACATCTGAACTAACTAACTAACTGAACAGAAACCACATGTGCACATACACTGAGGACTTTGTTGGATGGGCTTTATGAGTCCAGAACATGGCAATTATGCCAAATATAAGGGACACTTTTGGAAATATGGGCCAGAATATAACTACATACAGCCTTATGAATGATTGCAATGATCCCTATGAAGGCTATTAGATGCTGAAAATATATAAACTGTAAAGCAAAAAGAAATGATATATTGGCTCTTTGCTTCAATGGCTCAGACTTTAATGAGAATTTTAATTAGCTAGCTCAAGTCATGCAAAAGGCTCTTGTAATTCTAACCAAGGCAGGCTTCTGAATTGAGGTCATTTTTTGTATGCAACTGTTAGACCTTGGAGAGGAAGAAAATGAAAGGAAGGTGGAACAATTTTTTTTAGATATATAAACTGAGAGATTAATCTCAATCTTTTCAAGAAAGTTCTCTCAAGTGACTTGTACAGAAATGTTTAAAGGGATCAGAAGAGCAGAGAATGAAGTGAAAGACTGGCTGGAGCTGATACTACTTTCTACCTCTACCACTGAAGTAGCAGTGATAAAGTGGTGGACATAGATTTGGAATTGAGGAGAAAGTATCAGAGAGAAAAGATGCTGACTCATTTTTTGGGGACTGACTAGCAATACTTCTTCAAGCATAGCTCTTTGCAGTACAGAAACTTATTGTACCACACTAGCGTTTTGAGAAACTTTGGATACAGCACTGTCATTAACCACTGAAACATAATTTTGGTAGCAGAGAAAATAGGAGCTTAATATGTAGAAGTAAAAGTGGCATCTGATTCAGTTATTCTATGTTTCATTTGATCATTGAAATATGTTTAATGTATTACATCAAGAATATTATCCCTATAGTATATAATTACTGACACGAATATTAACAACTCAGTCATATATTCAGTTTGCGTAGAACTTTGCCTCTCTATCTCTCTATATATATATCTGTAGTGTATGCATGTCATCACATATATAAAATCCACATGCTTTAATTTAGGTTAAATCAGCTTTAATCTAAGGATCTCAAAATATTTTACATGCATCTTGCACCTTCATGATGTTGGAGATGCCATGAAAGCAAGCAGTCCATGCATCATTTCTTACTGTTTTATTCTCCATACACTTTCAGCTCCTAATAACCTTCATGGGGCTCCTTAAAACTATCTAGAGCTTAATGAATAGATGTAAAGTTGACAAACTAAACCAAAGTGAAATTATTACCATAAACAAGAAATGACAGATAACCTGCCTGTGCAGAGGGCTGTCTGTGTGTGTGTCTGCATAATAAATAAAACTGTCACAAGCTAAAAGATGCATTAGCCCTGTCTTGATTCACTTTGTTTTATGCTGGAGATTCATCCACATTCTGATCTGCACTCTGGAAGTAAGTGGGAGCACTATTTGGATTATTATTGTTCTGTGGAAGTGGGATGGGCTCTTACAGCCTACTGCTTTTATTGCAATATAAATCTCCTAACTTCATTTCAATTCCTTTCAACTTTACATGATAAAATCAGCAACTTTAATACAAAATGGTATAGGTACTATTAAAGCATGGCAAATAATATGAAAAAAAAATCTTGCTTCTCATAATTCTAGAACTATCACAATAATAAGCTGATAATACAAAATATAATATACTGCACTGAAGTACCTAAGGAATTTAAGTTATTTGGTATGAAACATGGATTGCATGCATGTCATATGGAAAGAATAACTCTAAAAATAAATGTCCTAACTGCCAAGAAGAGAAAACACAAGGTCTATACACAATTTTATTCAACTTCGATTTAAAATGTGCTATATACCTTAATAAAACGTGTAAGATAAAATTACAAAGATGAATTTGAAAACTACAGACAAAACAAAATCATCCCAGCTAAGCAGAAGATACTAATCATGTGCTGTCCAAGAAAAACTGGCAAGATGTTGAATTTCGTAACTTTAGCTGTTTTCCAATAATTCAGAAGATACCAGGAATCCTTAACTAAAAGGCCCAGTATGCTGGTTTGTACAAGCAGTAACTGAATCTTCTGAATATGAAATTACAGAAGACACCCCCAAAAGCACAGGATTTTTTTATACGTAGATTTTAAAGCTCTGAGATTTTATAAAAAGATGTAATGTTAGACTGTTCATCCTGTGTTTAACCCAATGCCTGTCCAGGTGTTGAAGACAGAAAGTTGCGAGATATGCTTAAGAGATTTAAAATATAACATTAAAATAATATACTGCAGCAGTAGAAAAGAAATGAAAATGCAAAGACATAAATAAAAAAAAAAAGAAAAAAGGGAAGTATTCTGAATCATAAAATGTCGAATTCTCTTCCTCTTGATTTGGGTATCTGTAATGTTTAAATCTATCCTTGACATACCAGTTGTTTTTATTTACAGTCAGAGAAGAGAAATAAGAATTTTAAGGTGTGATTTATTTGACCTGTTAGACACCTTCTTTAGGATGAATAAACTGTGCCTTAGATTCCATTAATTTGATCTCTAGTGACTTCTGAGACTGCTGGAGGAGTCAAGGGAAATCAGCTTAGATACATATGTCTACATTGTAGACACTAAAAAAAAAATTAAAACCACTCAAAGGGACTGTGAACTAGCCATTCAGCCCTAATCTAACAGAACGCTGAGGAAGACAAACAAAATTATAGTATATTTTGGGCAGAGACTGTACCAGTAGAGTCAAAGAACACAGTCCTAATGTACAAGACACTAGGGAGACCTCAGCTAGAATGGCATATCCAGCTGAAGCAGTGATCAAGAAGGCTAAACCCAATCTTAAACAGGCACCCAAGAAGGTTCCTCACCATGTATGTGGTGCTGCTATTGGAATATTAGAAGGGACACTGTATCACTAACATAGGTTAAGAGAAAGAAGGTCTAAAATCAGATATAAATACTCTTCCCTGAAGAGAGGTAAGACTCAAAGAGAGGTGATATAGGAAATATTCTTTCTTACAAGAGCAAGGGAGTGGAATCAACGCATATAAGCATTGAAACAATTTAAATATACTTAAATACCAACAAATACACACAGTATACAGGCAGTAAAACACAAATACAGGCAGTAAAAATCACAAACTATGTGTCCTTGTACCTTGTGGGTATGTTGAATGTTTGGTTAATTGCTCTATGCTAGAAATTTTTTTTCCAATGGTTCAATACGGATTTTATCACCTTGTTTGTAGTACTTCACTGAACTATACATAGACTAAATAAGGATGTCAAATGTGACTTGTTTTAACATGTTACCACTTTATTTTGCTTTGAAAATTATATTAAATGAAACCTCTCATCTGAATTCTATGCATTTTTTGCACAACAAAGTATTTCTCTACTTGAATGCTAGTATATACCACAAAAGAACTGCCTTTTCATAGTGCTTTGTACAATAATTGTTCTTTTTGTACAAAACATTCACAAAACTCTATTCAATTGTTTGTAATTTCCGAAGCAACGCTACAGATTGGTATATACTTATATAAGCATACCTACATTTTTATATATTGTTATATATAAAAAAGGTATACATGAGAGACAATGTCGCTTTGTCTGTCTCTACAGCAACAAGACAAAGTTACCTGTCAAGAACTAGTAAAGGAATGGGCAACTCCCTCCTGTGACTTTCAATGTAGTCAAACTAATGCAACTCAGCCACCTATTTATTAAGTGTCTTTATTTAATTAATGTATCTGGGAGCTATTTGGAAACAGAGACATCTGGAAGTGGCCTGATAGATGAAAGAGTTAGTGGACAATTCACTAACTGAAAGGAAATGTCTACCTTCTTCAGGATTTCTTGTGACACCTTGTATACTGTCACAACAGACGATGGGAATACAAATAGTTACTTTCAATAGAAATAAGAAGTGTTGTTAAATACTGTACACATAAATGTCATTGTAAATCCAGATAACTTTTAATTGTGCCCATAATCATTCATTGTTCTCATTTGTTCTGTACAGGCATTAGCATAAATGGAGTCTGTATGAAGCAGCATGTTGGACTGGTTGCCATTCAAACTGCAAGTGGGCTTTAAGCACAAGAGCATCTTCATTACCTGTGGGCATGTTTCAAACACTAGGAACAGGAGGTAGAGGTCAAGGACCCCACAAAAGACTGAATGCTTGCCTCTTCCTCTTTGATCTTTACATTACAATGAAGC